AGAAAACAAAGAGCAACAACTTACAACGCTCCGAACAACGTAAGTGGGTCGGTCGCCATACATTATTAACCCATTCGCGCCGGGTGTCACGTATACGTGACGTGCCCACTGTGAGTTTACTAGTTTAATTGTTTTTAAACATAGATGGCTACAATTGTACTTGTACTGCCTGTCTCGCCCGTTTACCCTTTTCTTAAATTTACGAAAATATTTTACGTTATCTTATTTTGCTGTTACTAATGTTCATAACATTATAGTAATTATAATGTTTATAATAAGAATAACCATTGATATTTATAGCACTAGTAAAAAATACATTTTCCCGCTAAATGAAATCAGGTAAGGAAGAGCCATCTAGTGTAGAGAAATTTGACAAAAAGTATAAAAAATGAGCACAGCATTTTTCCCCATTTTTTGTTAATTTTTACCCTTTCTCATATCTACAATCAGGACAATACCCGTGACAACCTTATTCAGTTTCTTAAGGCGAACAAAAATTTACGGGAATTAAAAACTCATTTCAGTGATGAACACTTTGAACAGTTCCTACAAAGCACTATCAATAACATTATCAACAATGTCTGAGGTCTGGAAAAAAATAATAAATAATCGACTCTCAGGCAAACCCCGCAGTTCCATGCCCTCTTGCACAAGCAGATATGCTCCTTAGTCAATAGGCTGGAGCGTCCAAATTAAGCTCACTTCCCACAAATATTCAGAATCACCTTAGACAGTCTAAAATTGCATGTAAATTTGCCATTGAGATTGGATGTTTGATACCGACCCTTCAGACTTTGCAGTGGGAATTGAACAATGCACTAATCAAAGGAAAAACATCCGCCCCAGGTGAGGATGGAATTACCTTGCCTTATAGATTGGGTACCTGGTAATCCCTTTTTGCACCTGTACAGGTTAAGTTTGTCACAAGTTTGTCTGCTTGTCTAATCATCTCTATACCGAAATCAAACACGAATTCATATGCCCAAATCACTAACCTCATTTGTATTCAGAGTTTTAGAAAGGAACAGACTCATGTACAGGTTACAAGGTTAATCATCTCACGGACTGTACGGATTTCTATTGGGATGTAATACACAACATTTCTTTGCAGAGTACTTTTCATGTTCTAACCCAGTCAGCTTTTGATATTGTAAACATTGTTAACCTTTAGTATCCGGGATAAATTATTAAGCTGGATTAGAATGTATCTTTCGAACATATTTGCAATTGTCTTGTTCAGTGGAATGAAAAGTTCCACAATCTTTTGAACTTGGGATGCCACAGGGAGGAGTTCTCAGCCCTATGCTGTTCAATGTCTCCATGCACAAGCTGTTGGCAGATATTCCATTTGGGGATGGTGAATCCATTATATGCTATGCTGATAACATATATTTCAGAGTATCACCACAAGAGAGGATGCAAGTAATTATCGACAAATTCACAAGGGCTCATGCATGTGGATTAGTCATCTCCGCTGAGAAAACAATGGCTCTTTTCGCATAGGTGACCAGGAGCTTGACATGTGTCATACATATAAATATTTCGTGGTAAACGGAAATATTGCAGACTTGATCCTTTCTCTAAAGGAGAAACTCTGGGAGAGATTGAAAACATTGAAAGTTCTTGTCGGAAGAGAACATGGCATCAGTGTTAAGCTTGCTAGACTGTTTTACTTGGCTTTTATAAGGTCAGCTGTGGACTACCATGTACTGCACGTGTTGCAGGGTAAGGAATCAGAAATAAATAGAATGGAGGTAGAGCAAAATGAAACCATGAGGATTATCCTTGGTGCCCCAAGACTAGCAAGCATAGTGAACATGAGCTCAGAACTAAACCTATCATCCATTTCTTTCAGATACATAAAATCACGCAAGTAGACGTGATTAATCACACACATGCGCGCCCTCTGATACACAAAATCTCCTTGATCAATACAAAGCTCAATGTCCCAATAAGTAAAATACCAAAAGGTCGATCCATTCCACTATGGAAAAAATCAACATAACTTCGTGTTAAAACAAACTGCGTAAGCGACGATAAAGGAACACTATGGGAGATGATGTATACGAGTGTTATGCTGACAGATCTATACAGTCTGGATACAAAGCTGGTTGTGCTTGTGCTGTGTTCAAAAATGATATACTACATCAAGTTAATATGAGAGTGCTACTACACAAACGGAGTTGGCAGTTATACTCCTTGCAACAGATTTCATAATGTCTCAGGGTTTTCTGTGACTCTCAAAGTGCTCTTCGGACACTAAATTCTTTCAAAGCAGGTGGTGATGAGGATATTGTGTGTTGCATTAAGCCTAACGTAACTTTTGAAGTAGAGTGCAATTTCAATATTCAATTCGTATGGATACCATCTCATGTTGGCATACGCAAGCACGACCACGTAGACAAATTGGCGAAGGAAGCCAGCAGCAACAATACTGAGAACAAAGATTTTGGAATGTCTCTTACTAGGGTTGCACATTTATTGAAAAGTTCTCATAAGGATAGATCTGACAAACACTCAAAGGCCTAAGAGCTGTACCATCTACAATCAGTATAGAGATAATAAGCCTTCCTATGTGTGGCATCGAAGTCAAACCAGATAATGTGACGTGATTATTGCCAGAACACGTTTAGGCTAAAGATTGTATTAGCAACTGCATGGTGCAAGAAGTGCAGATGAATCTAGGTGCAGACTGTGTAACGAAGAAAATAAGCGAACGTTTGAACACTATATCTCGAAATGTCATGTGATGCAGCCTTTCAGGCCACCTATCATGAGATATAAAGAACTATGTGAATATTTCATTTCATCAAATATATTGGAAGATATACTCCTAAATTTACTATGTAAAACTGCCCTAAAAAAAAAACAGTGTTCTGTGAACACAGTGGCAAAAGCATATCAACGCAATATTCTTTTGTATGATGTATGATTTATATGTACAACTGTAGTAGTCACAGGATATTGTGCTATGTCAAATATTCTTCTTCATGTGCCAGGTCTGCTGCAGACATCGGCGGTCATAGACTTCTTACTCCACTGATTTTTCCACAGAGAAGTTGTCTTTCCATTCCATCTGCTCTGTTTAAGAAAGTGTCCAAAGAAATCCAGTTGTCTCTTTCTGATGGTTTTCAATATGGATCTCATGTAGCCAGACATGTTCACAACCTCTTCGTTTGACTTCTTTTCAGTCCATGAGATTTTCAAGATTCTTCTAATGAATCACATCTCTGCTGACTCGAGTCTTTACACATGTTAGTGTCCAGCATTCGCATCCATACAGAAGAAATGACCATACATATGCCTTCAGTGTGTTGAGTTTGGTGGGTAGCCTGATGTTTCTGTTGGTAAATATGGACTTCATATTGGTGAATGTGTCCTTTGATATTGCAATTTTCTTATTTATTTCTGTGTCACATGCACTCTGTCTTCTTTGCATTTAACTGTAGCCCCTTATTCTCGCTCTCTTCTGTTACTGTTTGTAGGATGTCTTGTAGCTTTTCTACTGAATCTGCAAATCATCAGCATATCTTTGTTTGACTCCTCTTCGGATTGGTCTGTATCCACTGCACTCATTGTCCACCCGTATTGCTTCTTCTTGTTCCCAGTAGAGGTTTCTGATGACTCTGAGGTTCTTGCCATCCACATTCAAGCCTTGTAGAATGTCAAACAGATCAGAATGTCTGACTTTGTCAAACGCCTTTGAGTAGTCGATGATGCAGAGATAAAGGTCTGTCTGCACCTCCACTGCTCTTTCCATAAGCATCCTGAGGGCAAAGATGGCATTTCTGGTACTTTTATCTGCCATAAATCCAAACTGGGTTTCAGAAATTTCAGGTAGGATTTTATTTCTCATTCTGTTCATGATCACTCTAAGGAGGACCTTTGTGAGGTGATTCATCAGACTTATTGTCCTGTGTTGGTCACATTCTACAATTCCAAGTTTTTTGGGGAGCGCAATGAAAACCATCTGGGATGTTGCGTGTATCATAGATTGAATTGAGAAGTTTCGTTACTTCTTTGTAAGAAGTAACGAGAGCCGTGATGAGTTCAGATGGAATTTCACCAGGTCCTGAGGCCTTACTTACTTCATCCTCAAGGATTGGAGGGCCCTCATCTTGATTGCTAATATATGGTGGTGGACCTCTTTCGTCATGGTACAGCTCTTTGATGTACTTTGACCACCTGTTACGAATGTCTTCCTTTTCTAACAGAATGTTTCCATCTCTCGAATGCAGGCAACTTGTTTTAGCTGATGGCTTTTTCCCTGACATTTCTTTGATCCTCTGGTTCATGGTTTTGCTGTCTATCCTTGTGTTGTCTTCTATCTCCTGGCACTGGCTGTTTATCCAATTTTGTTTTGCTTCATTGCATTTCTTTTTTACACATCTATTCAATTCTTCCTTTTGCTTTTCTTCTTTCCATCAAGTTCAGAATTTCTGAATTCATCCATTTTTTGTCTTCTTTTCTTTTTGTTGTTGGTATAAGTTCCTTTGCTGATTCTAGGATGCTCTCTTTCATCATTTGCCATTTTTCTTCTCAAGTAGTCAGTTCATCTAGTGCGCTCAATTTGTTCTTGACACTGATGTTGTATGTCTGAGATTTCTTCATCTTTCTCTAGTAAATTGATTTAGGCTTCTTTAGGTTTTTCAACTTTATTTTCATTGATCCCACCACAGGAATGTGGTCGTAGCCGCAATCTGCTCCGGGCATAGATTTGCATGGTATCATTGAGTTTCTAAATCTTTCTTGCATTAGGATGTAGTCTACTTGGTTCCTAGTTCTGTCTCCTGGACGTTTTCATGTCCAGCATTTTCTGGGATGGTTTTTGAACTAAGTATTCATTGCAGCAAGGTTGTGCTGTTTCCACCATCCAATGAGTCTGCCTCCTCTATCATTTTTCTCTCCTATTCCAAATGGGCCTATGGTTGTCTCTAGTCTTTCTCTTCCAACCTTTGAATTAAAATCTCCCATTATTATTTTGTTTCAGTGCTTTTTTT